TCTTCTGACAGAGATCCTATCAACCAAGCCTTGATGAGCTGATCAGTGTGAACCCATTTGAGAAAGGCAGGATTGTTAGTTTCAGTGACTTGGTCTCTGTTTCGAACAAAAAGAGTAGGAGGAGGACATGGAGAGGAGCCGTTAACGTAACCGAGTAGAAGCTGACTATTGAGGAACTGTTCGAACTGTAGCTTCCAAGAGAGGTAGTTTGTATCACTCAACTTCAAGGTTACAACTTGAGTGATAGAGAGAAGCGCCGGAGTGAAAACGTCTGAGGGAGTTGGAGCCGCCATGGCTCTGATACCATGAAAGCTTAAGTGAAACAGAGGAGAACAAAGCGAGATTTTCAAGATTTAAACTTCATTCTTATTCAGCTTAAAGATAAGAGTTTTACAAGATAGGTTATTTATATGAAGAGAACTAGTATAACCCTAAAGGAATATACTGTAGCATATTCTGCTTAGCTGTAAAGCTTCAACTCAAGACTCATCTTCAAGGAGACAAAATCTGTTTTCCAACTTAATGGTAGAGTTCGTACTCTGTCTCTCTGCAGCAATGGATGCTTTGTCTTTACGTTTTGCTGACTTAGCCGTTAGGGTCTTTGACTGGATGATGGGCTTTAATTGTTGACGCAGACCCATCACTTCTTCATTCTTCATGCTTGATGAGCCAGCTCTGTTTACATGGTGGTCTCCCGGTGTCTGCTAACGACACTTCCTACGGGTTCCCTTCTCCTGTGGTATATAAGTCTTTATTTGGGTGTGTCGACTTCAATCAGTTCTTGTTTTGACTTCCCATCCACTCTTCCTTGTAAGGTCTTTCATGTTCACCTTAGCTCTTTTTTCTCCACTGTAGAATGGTTTAGATAGCTATTTGTGTGGGTGATGTTAGAATTGAGGTTCATGCTTTTAGCTGGTGAAATACCAACGGGTTTAGTCTCATTTGATTTTATCTTTGTGACTTTTAGTAGTATTTATATCGCCTTGGCACGATCGTGTACAGTATGTAGTTCTCTTACGGGTTTCATTCCAGATGTTGGTGATATCTTCGCATATCTCTCTTATTGGTGGCAAGTAGAATAGAAATTCATTGTCATCTTTATCCCGACTCCCGAGGAATATGGTGGCGGGCTATGATTTAGCGTTTGTCCCTTGTTTGAATCAGTTTTCTCTCCTAATATTTCCTCCTATATAAAATGAATGGGATGAACAAGTTTCATTAGTATTGCAAGGATTTTTTCTCTCATCGAATGCTCTTCTCTGTGTGAGGTTTAGTGTGTGTGGTTATACGGGTTACACTAGATGCAGATTTTGAAGATGCTTATGATTTGTTGTGATATAATTTCATATGGTTCTTTTTGTGATTTGTATAGTCATTTTATCCACTTTGTTATTGTTGTTGTTTGTTTGACTGCGAATAGGTTCTTTATAGAATATTTGTACTCCATACCTACGACATTTACCATATTTGCAATTCATACATAATTTCCCCTCTATCATCACTATTTTCCCACAATATTTAGATATTTTCTTAATTACTACATTTTTTTTGTATTTTCAGCCAATTCACCCTTCTTTATATCCCTTTTTATGGAATGTAAACATATTTATGTGTTTGACCTGCGCGCTTGCACATGTGTTATGTATGTAGTTAAACAGTTTTTTTACGAAAAAAATCATATTGTTTAAACTTTGATATTATAAAAACAAAACTTTGATATTCTATGTTGCAAAATTGTATGATTATTTTTTGGTGTGTCTTGTTCAGAAATATTATTATATAATATATCTAGTAATCTATTAATAATCTTTTTTGGTCAGCCATCTACTAAAGATCAATAGAAATGATCATTATGAAAATGAAAATTTAGTTTATGATCATTTCTAATACATTTTTTAAAATAAGAGACTATAACTGAAATGAAAATTTACTCTAATGCAAGTTTGGTTTGATAAAAAAAAAAGAGACCCGTTTCTTTATTCTGTGTCAACGTGGTTGATTTTTCTTTAATTAATTATCCTGGAAGCGCTTTTTGTCATATTATGGTTACTTTTGTAGTGATACATTTAAAATACTACAAGGTAATAGTAATCATGTGATATTGTAAATCTCATATCATTCCAAAACCAACGTTCACGTGTAGAAAAGGTTACATCTTAAGAGCTGTTATATTCGCACTTGCGTCTGTCTCGGTCTCACCAACTGAGCTATTTTAGAAGACATATTGTTACATCATTTCCCTGTTTCTAGTGGAAGTTTTTTTTTTGAAAAAAAAATTCTAATGGAAGTTCTGCATAGAAGTTGAATATACAAGCAATAAAGTCAAAAGTCACGAAAATATCATCTCCTTTGCGATAAGATTGTCCAATTTGACGTAGGTAGGGTGGATAAAGACTGGCTCCAGCATAGTGCGGTTCATGTGTGTGTCTTTGTCTACTGTTTTACGTATTTGCATTTACAAAAGAAAAAAAAAGAGACATTGCAAAGTGAGTACTTGGACGGAATAATACACTTGCAAAAAAAATTATTTATCATTGAATGAAAAATTATGGAAATTAGTTCAAGAAATATATGGAATTACATATAATGTAATCTCATTGCGTTAAAATATTTCTGAAAAGAGATGAAAAACTTATTTGTAAAAAACGCACAAAACCATATACTGTTGGCATATTATTGTAACATAGAAAAAAAAAATTTGTAATATTATTACTAACAGATTATTAATTCCAAATACATTAAAATATATATAAATTTGAGATTGTTGTCAGATAACTTGGATTCAGTTTTATCAACTACATCCAACAAAGACATGACACGTATTTTGGAAAAACCAGCAACATGCTTAATTCAATTTCACGTAAGTATAACGCTATCTCGTTTGGATTTTTTAGTCTAACCAAGAGACAATATATTTTTACATTATTGAGAATTTTTTGATTAAAAAAAACAATTACATCGCAATTGAAAACACGAGTACTACAGAAGTCTTGGCTACTATTTTTAATCAGCAAGAAAAGGAGGAAATGGCACTAATAGTATGTATAAATTTGAGATTGTTGTCAAAGATAACTTAGATTCAGTTTTATCAACCACATTCAACAAAGACATGACACGTATTTTGTAAAAATCAGAAACATGCGTAATTCAATTTGACGTAAGTATAACACTATCTCGCTTGGATTTTTTAGTCTAACCAAGAGACAAAATGCTTTTACATTATCGAGAATTTTTTGATTAAAAAAACAATTTCAACGCAATTGAAAACACGAGTACTACAGAAGTCTTGGCTTACTATTTTAATCAGCAAGAAAAGGAGGAAATGGCACTAACAGTATGTATAAATTTGAGATTGTTGTCGATGATAACTCGGATTCAGTTTTATCAACCACATTCAACAAAGACATGACACATATTTTGAGAAAATCAATAACAAGCGTAATTCAATTTCAGGTAAGTATAACGCTATTTCGCTTGGATTTTTTAGTCTAACCAAGAGACAGTATACTTTTACATTATTGAGAATTTTTTGATTAAAAAAAAAATTCCATCGCAATTGAAAACACGAGTACAACAGAAGTCTCGACTTACTATTTTAATCAGCAAGAAAAAGAGGAAATGGCACTAATAGTAACTAGTAAGCCAGCTTTCTACTAATAACAAGACAGTGAAGCGTTTAATAGATCGACATATAAATAGAAGATCTCGAAGACCTTTGGCAGATTTCTTGTAATAATTATTAAACTATCGTGTATAATCAGAAAATAATATTTAAAATTGTTATATATAGGAACAGTCATATATATAATGATTTAAGTGATAATGTTATTATCTCCTACTTTTTAGAAAAGCTTATCGGAAAAGTTTAAATTCATTGTTGAAGTCACATCCTACAATTATTAGTCAAGTTCAGTTGGATTAATGGTTACAAGTAGGTATGCTACTTTAAACCGAACCGAACGGTCAGATGCGAGCCGAACCGAAATTTTTGGTTTTTGTTTTGGTTTTCAATTCGGTTTAGTTCGGTACGATTATGAAAAATAATTTGGTTTTCGGTTCAGTTCGGTTTTTGATTTTCAAAAATTATTTCCGAAAATATACAAAAATAACCGAAAAACCGAACCGAACTAAAGCGAAAAAGCCGAAATTATCCGAACTTAACTGAAATAACCAAAAATATGTGATTTTGTTTTTTCAAAAATTATACCGGAATTAACCGAAAACCAATAAAATCGGTTATTTTCGGAAATAATTTTGAAAACCGAAATTACCTTATAACTTAACCTGAACCGAACCAAATTTAATTCGGTTAATTTTGGAATAGGTTTCAAAATTTCTGGTTAACCGGAAACCGACGGTTCGGTTCGGAAAACCGAAGTCGGAGGACTAGTTACAAGTATCACAGACAACCAAAGTACTAATGAAGATATACAATATATTTGGAATATAATTTTTTGTAAATACAAATCAGAAAATTTATAAAGAAAATTAACATACTTATATTTCATTTTAACAGCCTATTATAATAAATAAAATTGTTGACAATGCGAACGAGAAAGAAGAAACCAATGCTTCAAAAGGAAATAAAACAAAGAAAAGAAGAATATCAAATACATCCAAAGATTTAAAACAAAGTGAAGCTGAAAATCAAAATGAATGGGCATAAACAATTGAACAAGTGAAACGGCCAAAAAAAAAAAAAATTGAAGACAATTATGTTACTTAATTTTGCATTGCTAAATACATAACATTTAAATTTACACATTTTTAAACACAAATTATACTTTCATTCTTTTGTTATATAAGATTTTTTAAAAAAAATATTATTTACATGCAAAATAATTAGTTTATTAAATGATTTAAATTGATCGATCAGCAAATATAAATTATAAAACGATAACTTTAAAATAAATAAATTAAACATCTTTATCTTTTCTCCCGCGACTTTAAGCTTGGGATGATTTCCTAGTATATAAAAAAGAAAAAAAAAATCGACTTGTCTCCTTCCTGGCAGCTTCGCGTTGTCTTGTGGAGAACGCCTCTCTCTTGACTCTTGACCACATCCTCCTACTCTGCCATTTCAATATTCGATCGAAATCTCCAAAAATCAACCCGCTTGATTTGGATCGGAGAATGGAGCCGCAAGTTCACGACCAGCGAGCACATGCCGTAGTCATAATCACTCTCCCACCTTCCGATGATCCTTCCCAAGGCAAAACAATTTCTGCTTTCACCCTCACTGATCATAACTGCCCACCTGAAACTGAAACCCTAAACCCCGAAGACTACCCAAACCCGACATTTCAACCCGACCCACTTCACGAAAACCAGGATCCCGGACTCTGGCTCTCGGATCTCTCCACGGTCTCTCCGAGACTAGTGCTGGGTCTTGTCGGTATTTCGCTTCTCGCGATTGCTTTCTACGCCTCTGTTTTCCCCAACACTCTTCAGATGTTTAGGGTTTATGACGAGAGGGACCGTGACGATGAAGGTAATCGCCGTGAAACGTGGTCGTTTTCTTTCCCTGTGTACCACAAACTGGGTGCTCGGGCGATTCCTGACAGGAACTTAGCGGAAGTTGTGGATGTAGTAAAAAGTGGAATCTCAATCGATCAAGACCAAGTCAACAATGTTTTGCCTGCAATCGCTAGTTCTTTTGACTCCTCCACTACGATTCTTCCAGTTGGTGGAGATTTGTATTCTAATGGGTATAGCATTGTGAATGTTGTTTGGTTACTTACAGCGCAAGAAATAAAAGTTTTTTCTTTTTTTTGTTGTTGTTGTTGTTGTTGCAGGCTCTACTTCACACGGATTCGTCTTGGAAGACACTACTTCTATCTTGACATCGATACTGGAAGTGACTTGACTTGGGTCCAGTGTGACGCTCCTTGTAGGAGTTGCGCTAAGGTAAAGACTGTTTTGTTTTTTAAAGATTTGTAGGAGATTTTTCTATGTGGAAGTGCTGATGAACATTCTCAATTTGGTGGGTATTTAGGGAGCTAATCAACTATATACGCCAAGAAAAGGTATGTTAGTCAGATCCGCCGAGTCCTTGTGTGTAGAGGTTCAAAAGAATCAAATGACAGAACAATGTGAGGATTGTGAGCAATGTGACTACGAAATTGAGTATGCTGATCTTAGCTCTTCCCTTGGAGTTCTTACCAAAGATGTGTTTCATATCAATCTCCACAACGGATCAGTTGCTGAGTTGGATATAGTTTTCGGGTAACCATTACTTCTTCCCTTTTAAACTATTTGTGGGATTTTCTTATGAAATAACATTGTGTCTTATCTTTTTTAAGGTGTGGATATGATCAGCAAGGGCTACTGTTAAACACTCTGCTAAAGACAGACGGGATCCTTGGTCTAAGCAGAGCTAAAATTAGCTTGCCTTCTCAACTTGCAAGCCGAGGTATCATCAGCAACGTGGTTGGCCACTGCCTTCCATCTGATCTAAACGGTGAAGGGTATATCATCATGGGAAGTGATTTGGTTCCCTCACGCGGGATGACATGGGTTCCTATGCTTCACCATTCTCACTTGTAAGTACCCACGATAATGGGGAACTTGAAATCTCTGTAAATTCTTGGTATGTTCCCAAAAGTTTCAACCTTTGTCATTCACATAGTCAAAACAAATTTTGCATTTTTGGGAGCTCTCAGGGAAGTTTATCAGATGCAAGTTTCAAAGATGAGCTATGGGAATGGTATGCTTAGCTTAGATGGTAGAGTAGGGAAAGTCTTATTTGACACGGGAAGCTCTTATACATACTTCCCTAACAAGGCTTACTCCCAGCTGGTCCACTCAGTAAGCTATCACATTATGAAACAATAAACACTTACTTGTTAGGGTAAACTCGTCTTCTGGTCAATGATTGTGTTTTATGATATTTGTTGCTGGTGAAAAGCTTAAAGAAGTTTCTGGATTAGGACTAACACTTGACGAATCAGACAAAACGCTGCCTATCTGTTGGCAACCTGACTTCCTGATCAGGTACTTTTCAGAAGTATCTTGAACAAAAAAAAAAAAAAATCAAATTTCATATCTTTAAAGGTTAATTGTTGGTATTTTGATATGCAGTTCCTTGTCGGATGTTAAACGGCTATTTAGACCAATAACTCTGCAAATAGGGAGCAAATGGTGGATCATATCAAGAAAACTTGTGCTTCAGCCAGAGGATTACTTGATCATAAGCGTAAGCGCTTTAGTTAGTGCTCTCACGATTGTGATTAGTTTGATTATGGTTTGGCTTTGTTTATCTGAGGTTTCGTACACACTTTTAATGCAGAACAAAGGAAATGTATGTCTTGGGATATTAGATGGAAGCAGTGTTCATGATGGATCCACCATTATTCTTGGAGGTAAAGTCAAACGACATTTTTGTCTGTGAACCCACATTTCTTGTCTGAATATCTCGCAGTAATCGAACATGAAACATCTTTTGGTTTTGTTTTCTGTAGACGTGTCGATGCGTGGACACCTGATCGTGTACGACAATATGAAGCGGAGAATCGGATGGATGAGATCAGACTGCGTTCGGCCTCGTGATTCTGATTTCAATTTACCTTTCTTTCAAGGCTGAGGAAGATTCATAATTCTTACATATGTGTTGTATAAAACCTGACACCATGCGAGTGTTTGATATTTAGTGTACGTAGTAGGTGTTGTGTATCTAATTGAAGTCGTGTACTTTTGCTAAATTTATCATTTCCCCACTAATCATGAGTTAAAAAAAATAACTTATACTCCTTTTGTTTCCCTATAAGTGTCATTTTACAACTGGAAATAATTAATTTTACATATTTCCTATATAAAAACACAGTTACCTATACACCTAACCATATTTTAACCAATAGAAAAACAAATTACATAATAAATTAATAAATTTTGTATTGGAAACTGAAAACGACACTTATTTTGTAACACAAAAAATTCTCTACAACAACACTTAATATGAAACGGAGGGAGTATTAGCTTTTTCTAAATTGGATTGAGTAATTAAAGCTGTCGACTTTTACTTGATTCTCGCGTTGCGGCTCCAAGCTTTTGGAACTTCTCAGCAAAGATAGCTTTGAATTTGGCATCAACTTGATAGGTTGATGATTTTTAGAAGCCACATCGCATATACAATTGTTGGACTATTGTCACTATTCTTCGGTTTTGGGCCATTACTAAAGCCCACTGTAAATAGTTTGAATATTTATGCGGATCTGGTTAAGATCATCAAATGCTAAGACCCATACCGTAAAGTCTAAGACATTCCTTATTGATCTACATCTAAACTATTAAGGCAGAAGTACAAATAGGAATTAGCCCTAAGAATTGCACAAATATTACATATCTATGCCACTGCCTATTTGTTTTAGAAATTTCGTTACCGATTCCCTATTTTTTGGGCTTACAAATTGTTAATGGCCCAGATCACTATCAAATTCTATCAATAAAAATATCCTACCTAATTAAAGTCTTTCCCTATCCTTAAATATATATATATATATATATATATATATCGTATTAAAAAACAAACACCTATATTTACGATACTTAAAAAACAAATCAAAAAAGAATATTTTTTACCAGATTATACATACTCAGCATTTAAAACAGATTTGCAAAGCTTTGGGATAGATATGAGCACGCAATTATCATTAAAATAACTTGTCAACCAAGTTTTTTTGATCTCTAAACATCGAATATTCTGTTTCAATAATTTTACAAAGATTTTGCCATTTATTCTGTGTTTAAATTATAACTACCAAAATCTACTATCTAATTATTACCTAATGACCTAACGGGATCCCCTTTTTCATCACAACTATATATATCTCAACACCTACTCTCGAAAACATATCAAAGAAAACACAAAACCTCAACATGTCTAATATGACGACATTTGTTCCTCTCACAAAACTCAGGCCATTCAAAGACAACTGGAGAATTCAAGTGAAATGTTTACACTCATGGAAGCAAAACATGCCATATGCAGGTGAAACTTTCGAGATGGTCTTAGCAGATCAATGGGTAAGTTTTCTATAACACGTTTCTTCCTTTCACTGTATTACTAATGTCATAAATCTATCTAATATCACTGTGTTTTTTCTTAGGGTAACAAGATACATGCTACTAGCAAAAGATCTCTCATGCAACGAATTCAATGCCTCTTACTTGTAGATTCATGGGGAGTCATTGAACATGTTACTGTCACCGCAGCTGGTGGTCAATATCGAACTACCAACTACAAATACAAGATGGTAATAGCAGAAGACGCTGTGATATCAAGAGCAGAGTTAGTTGATGATAGAATGTTTCTATCTCTTGCTAATTACGCAGAAATTGAAAATGGAACCAAAAAACCTTCTTTTCTCATAGGTAATCTCAATTTCTGTTATATTCATATTTTTTAGAAACATGTTTTCGTTGATATAAGTCCTTATCTATGTTTCGTTTTTCTATCTCACAGATGTGATTGGAAGAATTCATGATCTTGGTGATGTACAGTCTATTCGAGTTTCTGGCGAAGACAGAAAGAGGATTCAGTTTCGCATAGTTGATGAAGGGTTTGTTCTCACAACATTTTTTATTTCGTTAGCTTCTACACTTTATTATGCTTGCTTCGTTTACTAAATAACATGTTTTAATATCCTCAGAGGAAACAATCTTGCATGCTGTCTATGGGGACCATATGCCGAGCAACTTGAACCGTTTTCTGTGGCTGGTAAAGATCAAACAATTATTTTTTTGATCAGATTTGCAAAAATCAAGGAATTTAGAGGTATTTGTTTTGACTCTTATAACATCAGTTGATTAAATTAAATTTACGTTCTAATTCAGAGCCTATGTTTAATGATTATTAGGAGAGATGCAAATCACTAATGCTTTTGATGCTTCACGTGTGTTCCTGAATGCAATGATCCCATAAGTTACTGATTTAACTCAGAGGTATTTATTTTGTTAAGATTTATATACTATTACCTACCTATCTTATATAACTTAAATATTAAAATTTGAGTGATATTAATTCATTTTAGGCTCACAAATGATGACCTCTCTGTTTCTCTGGTCCAAAAACCATCTGGAAAGAAGGATGGTAAGAGAATTGCTTATGATTGGGATCTTGCTGAGATCAAAACAATTTCAGAGGTCGCTGAGGTCAAACAGGTACATTTTACATTTTCTACAATAAAAATGTGAAACGTTATGGTTATCATCGTTTGAATACAAATGAAATTTAATTTGCTGAACGCCCTTAGGTGGAGATTTGCAAAATCATATGTACTGTTGAAGCAATTGATACAGATTGGTCTTGGTTCTACATTGGTTGTAACCGGCACCAAAAACGTGTCAATAAGATTCCTAAAGTTGATTATGAAAGCATGACAAAAAAGATAAGCCTTTGTTTCGCTGTGAACTTTGTCGTTCTAATATCAATAACGTGTCACCCAAGTAAGTGATGCTATTTAATTAAACTAATTCCTGCGAGTTCACATATCTTACTTGATTCAAGTATTCTTACTATATCCTAAATTTTAAATTTTAGATTCAAGCTACATTTGGTTGTGAAGGATGACTCTACAACATGTACTGTGATGTTGCTAGACTCTGTTGGTAAGTCCATAGTTGGAGTGGATGCTGAAGAATTATGGGATGGCTCTTATGAGGAGGTATGTTTTGATATGATTTTTTGTTTTGCAGTAACTTCCCCCACAATAATTTTTTACATTCGACCCTCATATATTATTTTGAAGATCCAGAGCTGCTACCACAACCTATTCTTAGTTTGATCGGAAAGTCTTTCTGTTTAGGGATTTCCATAACCTCAGACAATGTGACAAATGGATCAGACATTTTTGTTGTTTTAGAGGTTTGTTCTGGAGATAAAGTTTTTTCTATCGAGAATGACTCTTAATCAAATTCTGATATGGTCACAACTTCATTTGGATCTGTAAGTATATTTTTTTTTGTATTAAGCTTTTTGCATTATAGTTTGATCCGTGTGTGCATTATCATAGCGTATAATAGTAGTCTCAAATTTAAATGAGTTAGGTCATGATGTTGGATCAAATTTCCTCTGATGAGTGTCCTACTCCTATAACTAAGCGCAAAGACGATGACTATGACCTATAGGACCTAACCTCTTCTTCGAAGAAACAATGCACCAAGCTAATCAAACAAGAGAAGACCAAGACTGATTAGACTGAAGATCATGGCCCATTTCCAATATCAAATTCCTTCCCTTTATGTTTCAAGTTGTTATGCTGTTGATTTTTGAGTTTCTTTAAACTTTGAAGCTTTTTTTTTTTTTTGGTGTTATTTGATTTTCCTATATTTTATAATAAGCTGAGTTTTAAAATGAGATTACGTTAAAATTATTAAATATCAGATGCATCCTATATTTTTACTAATCTAAACAATTTATTCAGTTCAGACAAGAGCCTATCTAACCAATCAACTCATATAGTTCTAAAGTAAAACTATACTAACAAGTGAAGTTCTAAAGGAGAAAATTGACAAAAAATTATAATTGTTTAGAAGAGTGAACCTGTATAAAAGAGTAGGAATGGCCGACTCTGGTCTATCTTCTTCTCAACGCATCTGTGAGTCCAATTTTTATTATGATTAACATAAAGAATAAATTACTTGAGAAAAATGTTTACAGAATTTTCAGGGGCCTGATTAGTATCGTTGGTGTAGGGGGCATCACTGTCATCGGAGTTGTAGTTCTTGACAGAATTTTCAGAACCCATATTATTTAGTTTTTATTTCTATACTCTCACTCTAATGCTTAGTGTTGTGAAGAAGAAAGATGATTGCTTAAATAACAAAGAGTAGAAGAGTATATGAAAAGATAAAACGATTTATACAAAGCAATTTCAGAGCTTTATTGGAAGTTTCATCGAATCTATGATGGCCTAACCCACTTACTTGAAAAAGCAAAAAACATAGGAGGACTGAACATAGAAGAAGACAAATAACGAACATGTTTCAATCTATCATTCTCTGCAATCTTTGAAATAACACTGTTGTGCAATGTCTTGGTAATATTTTCAAGGAATATTTGTCTTGTAGAAGACATCATAACAGTGTTGTTCAATGTGTTGTCACATAGTTTTTCTTTCAAGAAAAATGGTTTTGAATAAAGTTTCTTTCAAGGTAAAAAAAAACTGATGTAAAAGTTCATAACACACTGATCAAAAACAACTTGCCTGCATCTACCTAGATAAAGGTAACATTGACATGCGTTGGTTCTTCTCAAGAGTTGTACAATTATATATGTGAAAGAAACTAAGTTGTTTTCCTTGGTTTTTCTCAAAAAAACTTTGATTGGGAATAAATGGTAATGGTTGGGGTAGAGGAATAGGAGATAATGTATATATATCTATACATTATTATAAAATAAAATTCAAATTTTTAGCTGATCACACCTATTAAAAGTTTTGTCCAAACGTACAACTTCAATAATATAGATTAATAGAATTCTGAGTTTATTATCATAATCAATCAACACAATTTTTTATTATAAATTTAAAATAAAAAAAAACAGCTCCTATGAAGATTATATTTTATGATTGTGAGGTTTATGTTCTTTTCACAAAAAGAAAAGAAAAAATTATTATTTTTTAAGTTTAACTAAACTTTTCACACAAATAACAAATTTTCTTTATTTTATCATTAAGATACTTGATATACATTTTATGTTCACACTTCATTTAAAAAAAAAAAAATTGACAAAGGAAACAAACCCGCCCTTTTAAAGCAGAACGTTAAAATCTAGAATTGTATCATTTTGTTCTAAATATAAAGTGAATAACATGAAAACAATAGAATCTAAACTTTTCAAACAAGAACAAAATATTATTGCATCGAACATACACCCGCGCGGACGCGCGGGTCAAAAGCTATTATATAAGAAAGCTGGTGATTATCGTGAGGTTTATAGGAACATATTCAGGTAAGGGATTAGAGAGAGAGAGAGAGAGAGAGAGAGAGAGAGAGGGAGAGAGAGAGAGAGAGAGAGAGAGAGTGTGTGTGTGTGTGTGTGTGTGTGTGTGTGTGTGTGTGTGTGTGTTCAGCTTTCTTGAAGATTCGGACCGAGACAAAGGTGGAGTTTGTAGGATTTTTGTCTCTATTCCTCGGTCTTTGGCTATTACTAAAGCCCACAGGAAATAGCTTAAATATTCTGTGGGCCTCGTTAAGATCATCAAACACTGAGGTCCATTTCGTGAAGCCTAGGGAATTCCTTGTTGATCTACAAATATAAGCAAGCTGGTGATTAACATGAGGCTTATGGGAACATATTCAGTTACAAGCTACATATTACGGTCAAGGAGTTGTTGCTTGATTACCTGAGAAGTAGCTCACTCTCAAACGAACTATGTCAATAGTTCTTAGCTCCTAACTTTGATATAGAAGTGGTTAGAGCTTACATCTCTTGTATTATTCTCTTTGTACTTGAGATATTGGACTGGAAGCATAGTTCTTCCTCCAGACATAAGTCACGGGAACATGGTAACAAAAGCTTTGTGTTGTCTCTCCCAACTAACAAACAAATAAATACACATATTAGTATTGAGGTTAATCGATCAAGATGCTTAGCTAAAAAAAAATCTAGCTAACAAGATAAAAGGTTTAGGTTAATCAATATGCTTAAAAACCTTACAACAATTGTTTGTGATACACACAAGTAGCTCTTAATTCGTTGTGTTCTCATATAGGTTCGTGATTTCTTTATGATGTCGATACCAATCGTCTTATTTGAAATTGAATGCTTTGCAGCCACCAGATTACGAACCACCTTTCTTCAGGGGCTGTATAGAAGATGAAGCACAATATGCATTGGAAAATAGTCCTCCGAAGATGAAAGTTGGGAATGTTAACAAAAAACGTCTTATGTTAATATTTAAGGTAATGTGATTTTTAAATTTGCAATTAGCTAGAGGTATTTCTTGTCTTTATGTCACTCAAATGTGGATGTAGTCAACATTACTAGCTAAACAGAATGTTAACTACATCTCACGTCCATGACACTCTATTGTTCCGAAAAATGTAATGTTCTTGTTTGTTCCAGATCAGTCATTCACAAGGAAACCACTTCATTGTGGCGCCAGTAAGTAATGGTGACTAACAAAATCTTAATATGCTATACCGAAGTCTAATAAAATTTTTACTAAACTGCATAAAATTGATAACCTAACATAGAAACAAGATAATGATATCAAACAAGTCTACAAAGGTGAATATACATATGTTATCTCAACATTTTGAATTCACAGAATGACGAAAGCTTCTTCTACTAATTGATTGTATCATAATTTTTAGTTATTATCGATCAGTTCGAGATTATTTCAGAAAAGGGAAAAGACACATACGTTAAAAACAAAGATAAAGTATGGAATTCATTCTATCCTATTGAAGGGAATGACACATCCTATGGATATTGTATTGCGGCCAAAAGATCTTAGTAATAATAAAAAAAATTAGAAACATAGTCAAATCCAATTAAAAACAGCCTGCTAAACCGACTAAATACCTAAATGGTTCAAATCATATCTCAAACAATATAACCAAATGAAAATAAATAAATATCTGAATATTTAAATTACAGATGATTAATCTAAAATAAATATTAAAAGTACAATTTTGATTTTGTAAAATAGTTATGTTTATGCCAAAATCATCTACTAACATAATTTTCAAAAAAAAATTATTTATAAATTGAATTACTCAAAACAAAATTATCTAAAATATTTGAAACTCCTTGAGTTACCAAAAATTGCATGAAAGAAGAAAAGGAATCGTAATCGCATTGAACCCAAAACTCTAGGAGGGTGATTGGTTGGGTTGTAAATAATGACTCTAGCTTTAATTTCTATCTACAACCATTTAAATCACCAATCATGTTTTAAGTAGTTTTTAAAGCTAAAGTCAAAAAAATAGAAAAGTAGTTGTAGGAACCATATTTTCTAAAGCAAAAAATTATTGATGTACGATTGTTGTAGGAATATCTTTTCTTTTATATTTTTTTCATTTAATTTCTACAGCTACATTAGATACAACTACATCAAAAATATTTACAGTCTAAATTCTACAGTAAAGTTTTTAAATCTACAGTTCAACCAAGCACCCCCATTAATTAGTTTCCAATATTACTATTCCAAGTTTCCAACCAAACCAAAACTGAAAATAACCTAACTGAAATCAACTGTAAAATAGAACCAAAGCCGAATTTTCGAACAACCCATGCTTATTGGTTTTGGTCTCCATTTATTCGTAGGCATTTAGGGCAGAACTGCCTTTTTAATCACTTCCTTCCCAACACTTCAAAAGTGTATAGGGTTCTGGTCTCAAGGAAGAAGAAGAAGAAACCCAATTTTCACAGAGAGAGAGAGAGAGAATAGAGGATGAATATGGACGGGCCTCTTGATTTCGAGAACGAAGATCCTCTTGTCAACCCTCCACCATCTGCTGAGAAAAGGTCTCACTCCTTTTTCACCCCATTCCAATCGCTAATTCTCAATTGGGTATTTCGCTGATTTTGCTGTCATTGTAGACTAGGCTTTTCGAATTAGGCAAAGTTTTGGGTCATTTGTTGTGTCTTGTTTAGGGTTATTCTCAATGTTCTTATGTAAAGGCTCAACCTTTGTGCCTATGCTGTTAATAAAGCGGTGAAGTTTGAGGGTTTTCTTAACACCTATTTTTCTGTATCTTCGACTTGTGTGACACCAGGAAGAAAGTGATTGGCTTGGATGACCTTGTCTCTGAGTTTTACAAAGAGAAGAGCAAACTCATAGACAAGGGAAACAGGAAACGGAAAGCCTCTAAGCTTTACGATTCTGATGATGATGAACGTGGCCAACAAGCTTTGCTTTCTATTGTTGATGACTGCCGGAATCAGGCATGACACTGTTGTAAATTCATCACATTCTTTTTAGTTTTTATCTTATCATCTCTGTCTGCCCCTATGTTTGGTGATTATTGGGGTTATGTTTCAGATGAATGAGATATGCAGCGAAGAAGATGTCCAGGAGTGGGGTTTGTGTATGTTTGGAGATCAGGTTAGGTTGATTCCATTGTTAAATCCTGTTTCAGAGTAATTGTTAGTTTGTATAAAGTTATAGTCTTTGGTGTTTCCTGGTACAGAAAGCTCCAACGCAATCACTAATTGCTGATCTCGATAGTTGCCACTTGTTGAAAGAGTTTATGAATAGTCAGCTAAATTCGCTGGTGGAACTTAATCCGGATAATGGTTAGTTTTCTGTGAAGTGCTCTGTCTTTAGTTGATTTTCAAGTAGTAATAGTCTTCAATGTACAATCCAGGAACAGCTTTTCTTGAGGGATTGCTGGTTAACGGCTGGCTCACAAAACTTATCTTGACGTGTGCACGTGTGGAAACAATCATATGCAAATGGACGCTTGATATGTGTATGTCTTCTAGCTCTTTCTTCAAGTTTCATTTTATTACAGGTTTCGGCTTACTTAATGCTGTTTAATGTCATATCAGTGTTGTATTCATCAAAAGAAGACTTAAGATCTTCTGCTTGTGACTTCTGGTGTTCCATACTGTTGTCACAAAACGAGGTACTGCTTATCTACTTTTCTTCTTTAACCGAGCTTCCGTGGTAAACATTGGATGTCAAACATTGTGTTTAATCAGGTTAATGGAGCTGCTGTTGAAATTGAATGGCTCCCTAACTATCAGATACTTAATGAAGCTCTTGAATCATATGGTTTCAGAATTAGTTCATCACAAGATGTTCAGCTAGCTGAAGCAGGTGAGTGTCTTGTTGCCCCCAGTTCCGTGATTGTTGGTTATGTTTTCTTTTGGTTTTGTAATAGACTATCTACTACTGAAGTGTACTAACTTTTGGCTTGAAGGTTCCAAGTCTCAAGGGCCTCCGCAGAATATCAGAGCTTGGCTCAAATTTGTCGCTGCTTGTTGTCAGATTAGGTTTGTGACGCAAAACTTTCTTTACAGATAACTAAAGTAGTAGCACTTATCATTTCTCCATGCATCGTAGAGCTATAGGACTCTGATTTATGCATTTTAAATACTTATGCCTTCTATGTTGCTTCATTGATTCAGATTTAAAAAGCCTATTTTCACTGCATCTCAACTTGAACAAATAGCCGAAATCCTTGTTTGGCTGCTCTTAGATCGCAGTCTTCAAGGTCTTTCGCTTCTCCTACAAGAGTGCGTAGTATCTGTTACTGAATCCTTCAAAGAGGAAGAATGGGTTTCAAGCTTCAAGAAGATAGCAAACTCTCTTGCTTCCAGGTTTGACCTTGTTTTTACTTGTAGCATCATTGGCCGTTTGTCTTATTATGTTAATTTACAAAGTTGCTTCTCTGGTTTTGGTTCATTTTCAGAGTACCTCAAGACATGAACTGTTTGAGGGTAGTTGAATCCGTATCAGGTGTTGATGCTCGAAGCAAGCATTTGAGAAGTTCCATTGCTAATCAAACGCTTGTTGTTTTACTTGACCATAAGGTAAACCATGAACCACATTCACATAATAATAATACCAACAAGCTTAGATTGTTAGTCAAGGCGTTTATACATACTCTGGAATATGATTCTCAGGAGAGCGACGAGAAGTTGATGAGCTCGCTGATGTCTATCAATCTGAAAGAGAAAAGTTGCAACCTATTCAGAACGTACATGTTATTGGTTTTGGCAGAGAACTGGCTCTTGTCCAGTAAAATGGTCGAGGAAAAGCCAGTGTTGAGAGACATGTGGACTGTGTTTCTCAGAAACTGTTTTTGTCAGATCAATAGCACCGATCTTCGTCCTTTTGCATCAAAAGTGAGTTGAAAGCAGACTAAAAAAAAACAAATACTTTGATCCTCGTTTATTAATCTCTGTTTTTTTTGTGTGGTTATTAACAGGTTCGTACCAAAGCCTCGTATCTTCTTCAAGGATGCAGAAGCAATGGAAGTGGTCAAACCTGAAACGTTAGCAGCAAGTCCTCAAAGTGAAATTTAGTTAGTAATAGGGTTTTGGTTTGGTTTTAGGTTAAACTCTTTTACCACTGCTAATCTAAAATGTAGAACCTTTTATTAAGCTTTCTTTTTGCCCATGTCTTGGGTGTAAAAGAAAAGTCCACCCTTGTGTCATTGATAGATTTGGTATAGATGTTACCAAATCTAGTACTACAACTCATTGAGTGGTATTACTGTTGTAAGTTTATGTTAACTAATAGGCGTCTAATGAATATTTAAGTGCTAATTCAGGCTTCTTATTTCGCTATCAAGCTGATTAATAATGTCGGGCGCTTAGATAATTGGCCACCGAACTGATTAGCTTTTAGTAATGATGATGGGACTTGCAACAAAAATCTGACTGTCCATGCCTTCTGGGTTTTTCACGCTCATTCACTTGGTTTGTGAATTTCATTCAATATGACTATTGGTGCCTTAATTTTTTGGAGACTTGAAAATTTTGTTTACCGATATGCAATCATTATTTCGCATGTTTTGATCTCATTTCCACAATACCACAAATCACTTTTTGATAAGTCATTCTTCTTTCTATTACTCTAAAATCTTGTGACCGAAAAAGTAAGTTTATTTTGCTAACATACAGAGAAATAAAACCAGAAGCAAGTAAAAATAGTTAGTCTCAGACCTATTAGTCAATAAATCTTTCTAAAAAATCATATTGAAAGAAATGAAAACCAAATGACTCGAACTACCTAATTTCTTTATCATGCAAAGGTACATTTACCACTGAGGCAGTTGAATAATCATGATTTCTTAGAGGTTGAAACGTTACTAAACATTACTTATTTGAAATAGGGCCAGAAGCTAAGCATCTTCACTTTTACTTGCAACGTTTTGGGGACATCATTAACCAAATCAATTATCTTGATGTAACATGGTGATGTTATATATACGCACTTTCACATATTCCAAGCGACTTCAATATTTGTAGTGTATATCTTGCATTTTTTGGTAAGTTGAAGTCCCCTAAACATTATTCGTAAGTAATTCCATACATATTATTTCTACAATCAATTTTACTAATAGAATGGGACATGACATAATAGAAATGATGACATGACATATGTCTAAATGTGACATGATAATTACACTTAATGTTTATTTCTATGTTTGTTAACTTTCTAAAATATGAAAAAACTCATACACCATCATTAAAATAAATTTATTAAAATTATATTAAATAATATAATAATAAAAATATAAAATATTTTACAAATTTTGAGATACAATTTAAGTCTATTTTGATGATTATACCATTTTTATTATTAAGCAAGATTTTCACACACTACAAGAAACATAAATAAAGTTAGAACGACTATTCCTAGTTATTTCTTTGTAAAAGAAGGTTTACGAGGAAATAACCAGGAAACGTAAATCGTCATAACACGATTGTCATAACTCAACTTTCCTTGCTCTTTCCTAGTTAACTAACGAGGAAAATTTTCCTCGTAAATTCGTCTGCAATATTTCCTCGTAAACGTTTCGTACCGTTTTCCTCGTAAAGTCTCGTAATAGTTTCTTCGTTAAAGCCATGTAAACTTTCTTCATAAAAGCCTCATAATGCTTTTCCTTTTTACTGACACGAAAACTATTCCTCGTAAAATCCTTGTAGGTTTACGAGGAATTGACTTGGAAACCTTATTTTTCTAAATTAAAAATAATAATCAAAATATATAAATAAATTATTTTTAAAAAGTTAAAAATTAAAATTTCTAATAATAGAAGAAAAGTAAAATATGTATATGCATAAATATTTAAGCTTTAAATTTATAATACAATAAAAAGAAAAGAAAAACTATGGATGTTGCTCGTGAAACTGTCGGACGAAGTCTTCACTCCTCTCTACCTCGTCGTCCTCCTCCTGGTGGCTTCGCAGTGGCTGTGGCTGTGGCTGTGGCGGTGGTTGTAGGTGTGGAATCCCTATTTTTCCCCGTCTGGCATGCAACATCATCTCCAATTGCGGATTTCCAACCGCCAAAATGTCCGAAAACTTTCGAGAGAACCCATTTGAGCTTGCGTCGTGCTCAAATCAGAGCGCGTCGCGTGCAACTCCGAACGCAGCTGAGCAGTCTCATTGTCCTGTTGCTGAGCATAAGACGATGTCGCTCTTGGGACATCGTTAACGGAACCAATCCCCACAATACGTTCTTTTTTCTTAGGGATGGCCTGTATTTTTTTCACATAAAAAAAATTTAATGTTAGTTAATGAAAGAAATATAAATTAAATGAATAATAATAAATTAACAAATTTACCTCTTCGTAAATCTGATCCATGTTGGATGTGGACAATATGACGGGTGTCCCATCGGGAGACTGCTGAGTCAGGTGGGTTTGGCGCTCCTCAACCCGAGCAACAACCTCCTTGTAGATTCGCTCGGACCGAGGATCTACAAATTACCCAGTCTTGTTCTTGTGGGTCCTCTCGTAAAGATCCTTGAGAGGTTGAAGAAATCTTGTCTCTTTAGCTTATTTTTTTTAAAAAAAATAATAATTAAAAATATATATATTAAAAATATTAAAAATAGTTAATATTTTAAGACGGACTCCGTGAGGTTTTTGACTTGAATTGTGGAGCATCTTCGTATTGTCATACTCATCTTTGGTCAAACGGTTAGCGGAGCAGCTGTTGGAGATTTTGATCTACTATGTCTGGTTCCAATAATGGATGAGGCCATCCCACACCAAATATGTGAGGCAAGAGGGTTACCCCTTCTCTTAACCATCCACCTCAGAATCGTCCTTCCAGTTGGAGGCCATGTCCAGCAATCGTGCTTTCACTTTATGCTCAAACTCACTCTTCACCCGGTTGTTCACTCCTATGGACCAACGTCATTTTTCTGTAACAAACAAATATTAGATTAATAATTAGTCCAATAATATTAAACTTTTTAAATAATTTAAGAATAAAGTTTTTTAGTTAATCACTTACATCGAACATTTTGAACCACGTCTTTCTGATGTGGAGGGGCGTCATTTTCCAGGGAGCTTCATCGGGGAAGTTGCCTTTGATACAGTTGGTGACGCTCCGAGCGACACATCTATCAACCCCAAACCTGAAGAAAAAAAATTAGTATTAAATTTGTTAATTAATGTTTGTTATAAATTACAGAAAAAATGAAATATACCAGTAAGTGTTGTCCGTCGGTCAGGATCTAAGACCGGTAAACCTTCTCAGCCTGGCTGAGAGAGAAGATCCTAGACGGTGTACATAGCATATGGAGCATTTGGCGGCACTTGCAAAGTGGGATGAACCCCAGTCGCAGGAGGAGGAGGACGAGGAGGAAGTACCTCCTCTGGAATATGATGATGTGCGGGTGGTGCAGAAAACAGGGGAATGGGTGGGAAAAACTGAGACTCGGAAACACTATCCGGAATCAAAGAACCGGGAGCTAAAGAATATGATGTGCCTGTACGAGGACCCAACTCACATCCAAACATGTCCCCGTAATGAGTCCCGGTCGGCGGCGGCGGCTGCTTACCCTTAAGCTTTTGCACTCTAACCATCTAAAACATTAAAACATTTTTTAAAAAAAACATAAATATATTAGTAACATTTAGAAAAAATAAACAATCTAATCTAAATTCCCAAAACTAAACAACCTAATCTAAATTCCCTAAACTAACCACCTAATCTAAATTTCCTAAATTAACCACCTAATCTAACCTAACTACTATTACCTTAAGAGGAAAAGGAGAAGAGATTGCTACAAATGAGAGAAATCGGATGGCTTCGACTAATATAGGGATTTTGGTTTCGTCGTAATACCTTATTCCTCTTACGAGGAAATAACCAGTCCCGTGTTTACATTTCCTCGTAAAATCTTAGTCTCCTTACGAGGAAATAACCAGTCATGTGTTTTCACCTCAAGAGGGTTTTACAAGCAAAAGGCTGACGTGGCATTTACGAGAAAATAACCAGTCCCGTGTTTTCACCTCACCCGGGTTTTACGAGGAAATGTTTTACGTGGCATTTATGAGGAAATAGACAGTCTCGTGTTTTTAGCTCACGAGGGTTTTACGAGGAGATGTTTGTATAACCCTAAAATTTGAAACCACAAACCCTAAACCTCAACTTTCATAACTTATAACCTCTAAATCTTCCTAAACCTCAAATCCCAACTTACCAAACATCCATAACTTCATTTTCGTAATTAAACAAACTGAAGACATTTATAACTAAGTATTAAAATTATTAATATTAAAAAACTACAACACCATTCGGATACATCATTGTCATTCTCGGCATCACTAGAAACATCATCATCTTTTAAAAACTCGTCTTCAACAGCTTCGTCCATTGTATGATCCGGGACATCTTCGTATTCTCGATTATGCGGATCAGTGAGTAGGATTTCATCAATTTGTGCTTCAGGTTCCTCGATTTCATTGGTGTGTTCCTCTTGTAATGGTGGTTCTTCTCCAACGATTATTCGTACATGAGGTGTAACTTTGATAACAACTAACCAATTTATTTATGAGGTTGTCATCCGAGGGTATAGAATGAAGCAAACTTGGTCCGCTTGTGAAGCTAATATGAAAGGCTCGAATTTGTTGTACCTTCGCACACCATTGACATCAACTACACCAAATTTGTTAATCTGAACACCTATGTTGACAACAGGGTCGAACCACTCGCACTTAAATATGACGCATTTCAGCTTCAATAATCCTGAGAATTGAACTTCATAAACCTCCTGCAAGATCCCGTAGAAATCTGTTTCGTCTTTCACACATATTCCATAACTACTTGTCGTCCGGTGTCTACCATAGTCATAGGTATAAAAGTATAGCCTTGTGTGAAATACATCGATGATGTGGTGACCTTTGCAACTGAACCTTGAAATAATTCACAAAACCATGCGGGATAAGCGGGATCGTCATAATCAACCTGCAAAAAAATCACATTTCACTTGAAATTAAACTTACTATCAAGGAATCGAGATGTACGCATAAAAATTTAAGTTATAATACATGTTTCCTCAACCACTTGATAAAGTGTTGATCTTTCCTTGTGGTTAACTCAGTTGTTGATATACCTGAGATTGTTTTTTCGACTTAAGTCACAAATTCGCTGTAAAATTATGTTATGTTAATTAATCAATTGAAAATATATAAGTGTGTATCAACGTATTTATATGTTTACCTTTCAAAATAACGAATCAATGGATGCTCGCAATTGATAAAAATATAAATGTGTGCACTGTGGACGTCTTCATCACTCGACCACTAAA